GGCTACCTAACTGTTAGTACTGTGGTTGTTGTGACCTGGGCTAGAACTGTTTATTGACTGCCCATCCTCTGGTGATCCTAGTTTAAAGCCCCGTCAAGTAGGTCAGCCATCCAGGCCAAAAAGATCTTCTTCCCTGTCAGGGTGAGGTGGAGGCCATGCCTCCCCAACAAGCTGCTGCCTCTTCATCTGAAGTGTGGACCATGGTTGAAGAAGCCCAATCCTTGTGGTGGCACCATCTCCAGAGTCTTCTGTTGACCTCTCTGATACACCTCTCCCTTCCAGGCCCATGACCCGTAACCAGGAGGATTGAGGAAAAAAATACCTGCACCCACAGACCCTTGAGCCTAGCCTCCAGAGGCCTGTAGTGACTCATGACCTGGCCAGGACTGTTCTGAGCTGTGTTATTTGTGCCCACATGGATAAGTATCATGGGGTGGGGGTCTGTGGGCTGGATAGGTTTGGGGATCCTCTCAGTTATTATCCCAAACATGAGCCCTCAGGAGGAGTTGATTGTAGCATGTATCCAAAGTGGCATACTAATTGAGATTGGTATATAAAATATCCAGCTCCTGGACCTCTGTAAGACTTATGCTCTGTAGTGCACAATATCACCACTGTAATCCTAACCAAGTCTTCAATACAAACTTTCAGCTCTGTGAACAGTGTCCTTTCTCTCTTTAAATAGAAAAAAAGTACCAGTTTAAAACAACTAGCTTAAAGCTTAAACATAATTTTCTAGGCTGTGTATCCTCTAAGAATGAAAACTACTGTCTCCTATATTTTTCTGTAGCTCTGTACTATATCATGGTGGATTGAACAGTATGGTAAAGGACTTTCCTAGCACTAATGTTAGATCACCTGTATTCAAAGAATTGCAGTATGGAGACCCAGCCCTCACAGACACATTCTAGACCTGTGATGATCACCTGTTGAACCTATAGGTCTGTTTAACCCCTACATTATAGTTACCAACCTCTGATTACCTTCACTCTGAAATGGTGAATGTCTGGAACCTGTAAAACTGCTTGTATTTAATAAAAGCATATATGCAACTGCAGAAAGGGCTACTGAATGACTCTAGTACTGGTAGCTACCATACCCAACTTCTGAATTTTTTTTGGCTCTTCTTATTAAGTTCCCTGCTCTGTATTTGCACACATGTACAGGGACACTGAGATCCCAGTCTTCTACTTAATATCTGCTTTCCCCTCTTCTGGCCTTAAAAAACATTAAGATACTTCAGTACTGGTTATACTTACACAAATATGTATCTGTAACCATTTTACAAGGAAAGAGAATACAGCATCATAAAAAGCACATATTAACAAAACCACACATTCATTCATGCATTAGAGTCTTCCGTGCGTAAACTTAACAATCAATACAGTGCACATATGGGTTGGAGAGTGGAAGATAATTGTAAAGACAAGTATCAGATAATATTTAATTAACTACATTTGGTGAAGTTAATGTGCTATTCCATATTTAGAGCTCCTCAACTACTTTTATTGCACAGAAACATTCAAGAAAAGAAGAAAACTGTAATTATCGGAGGACCATATGCCACTCTGTATTTGGAAATGAACCAATCACCAGAAGTAAAATTTTGAGCAGAATGGCATGATATAATACCCTCTGAGGCATGCCTACCCCATACTTGCAGAAAATAGAATGCATGCAGATAACATAATCATTTTAGAGAGAGAATATCTGACCATTTCATCTGGAGAATCCTCACAGTAGGAGCTAGAGCTGACAGACCCCTGAAAGCACATGGGGAACTGGTCCAGAATAGATACCAGCTTTTATGGAGTAGGATCTTGAACTGCTCCCTAAACTTTTATTCTATCATAATACACATGCATAAATGGAACAGCTGCTGACAGACCTATACGCATGCATCTTAATGAGAGATAAACAAAAGCTAAGTTTCATGGCCTGCTCTGTGCAAAGTACTGATGCCCAAGGCACCAGTAATTTCTGAGAGGCTAGTTGCTTCTTTGGAAATAAAAGAGAAACTTTGCCTAGAACTCCTGCCTCCTATCTTAAGCTTAACAAACCACACAAGAACCTTGCCTGCCTACGTGGCCTTGAGTCTAGAGATGTAGACCTGCTCTGTGTGGGAAGGTGTAAGGCATGATTCTGCTCCACCCATAAAAGCATATGATTGCAAAAGAAATGGAGGATATTATGCCTGAAGAAGCAGCTTCTGGCCATTGTCTCCTCACTGTACTGTTCAAAGAGCATTCTCAGGTTTATAACCAGTCCTTGACTCTTCTTGGGTTAAAACAGCTCTGTCCCATTCATGCCAAATGTAGTTTGATTATTGGATAAATTTGTATGACTACAACAGCATAATGGAGGTATAACTATAATTTCCTTCATTACAGGGCAGAACTGAGTACAACAAATGAGAGGCTTTAAAAAAACTGAGATAATGGGCACATAGGGTCATTATGTTCCTTTAGCTCTCTACAGGCATGTCTACACTTCCAATTAATCTGAGATCCCATGGTGCCTGTGCCATATGGTGCCAGCCTGGCCTGGCCCAGCCCAGAAGTGTGCACCTTTGAGCAGGACCAGGCCACTCTTAGTAGCAGCACTCTGGGTAGGAGAGACTGCCAGAGACAGGCAATCCCCCTGCTCCCCTACAGCAACCTGTGTAGGGGAAGGCCAGCCTGGAAAGGAAGGGGATTGCCCAGTCACAAGTGCTGTCCCCAGCAGTGTAAAAAGCTGCCTTGGTGAGCAACTCCTTGGTAAAATTCAGCATCCCTTTGTCTTAGTAAAGAGGCCATGTAAATCTATACCTGTTTTTTAGAACTATATCAAACGCAGCAAGAAAGCAATCCGCACTTGAAGTTATTCATTTATTCCTCAAGAAAATACAACAGAACTTGTTCACTTGCCCTCAGGAGCTGCTAAGGGCGAGCTAGTTGGTATCTGGGAACACTAGCCCCTTGTGCCAGCTGGACAGCTGAAGCAGCCCTAACCTAGAGTGGACCCTGCACCCTCTACCCACTGCAGCAGTGTGGCAGTGGGGGCTTCTGCCTGGAAGTGGGGGCTTACCTGCTGCCACCTGCAACAGCATGTGGTCCCTGTGACAGCATTGCTGCTCACCTACCAGACTTGGCCAGAGACTGCACAGCCCACCTGGGCTATGGTATGGGCACTGTAGCAGAACTC